AAAAGTATAAGAAGATGCACCACATACGTGATACGAAACGGACACAAGAATGAAAGAATCACAGAAGAGAAAAGGCATAAAAGGATCAAAGAAAAGAACTAATGAAGACACGTCATTACTACTAGCGATGAGATTTATTCTTTATTTCAATTGTTTTTCGCTCTTCTAGTTTTCTTGGGAAGATATTATGTCAGGACAAAGACCTCCTGGAATAAATATGTTTTCTCTTCTCTTGTTCTAGTCCTAATCCGCCACATTGATAATGATTCCTTTCTTTTTCTCGTCTATGGCCTAAGCAAGTGGTGAATATCGTTTACAAAAGGATGGTTCCCGATTTATAATTAAAAAAGGAGAAAGAAAAATAAATGAAAAAAAGAGAAGCAAGATAACAGTGGAATTTTCTTCAACAGGAGAATCGACGTTGCAAAATTCAACATAAACAATTTACAAAAGCAATCACTTTTACAAAATTTAAAGTAAGTGACTGGTATTTAGATCATATACGTCAACGATACAACCTCTGCTCCTCATTATGAGAAATATTCTCACAGTCTTTATTTTAAATAATAGCTTACCAACATTTGATGATGAAAAAGGAATAATTGCCGACAACAGGAAAAATAAAAGCAAATATATAGAGAAAGAACATATTAGGGTAATTATGGTCATCTGTACAAAAATCATGTTGATTTGACCATCCCTCATGCATTTCTCAGAGAAAAGGATGTTTTTTTGCTACGCGCATACCCGTAAAACCTCATTCTTATTTCTGATAATTTTTCGTTGAAGATATAAAAATAAATAAGTATTTATAAATATATTTGTTTTTAACATACACAAGTATTGTTTGTAAAGAGAGATTGTTCATAATTAAATATATATAATTATTTTTCTATCAGATTCGTGATCATTAAATTAGTTTTAACAAAAATAAGAACGATGTAAATTTTTTTTCATTCTATCCTATCAGTTAGTTTGAATTCTCCCAAATTAAGACATTCAGGCAAAAAATTAATCCAATGCCAGTACAATATTATCTTTGAAATGAATATCGTAGCTCTGTAGTTTGTTTTTCATCTGCAACTTTGGGTTATTCTTGGAAAAAAACGCCATTCTAATGTAAGTAAGATTTTTTTGTAACAATGAAAATCATAGCCTTATAATTGGATTTCCATCTCCATGATCAGAATAATTCAGTAAAAAAGTATTCTAACATTAGTAAGATCGTTATCCTTGAAAAGAAAATAATAATTCCATAGTCTATTTGCTGTTTCCAAGATCTGACTGAATATTCAAGCAAAAAGTGTTTTCTTTTCATGTCTAAAATTAGGATCTTTCATGTTTTAAACTGGAATTGCATGTCTGCTTTTCCGTCGTTAAAGTCATGAAAACACTTATACAAAGGATATAATCATGATCTAACGAAACTAATTAATAATATAACTTACATAAATTGAATATAAGGAAAAGCAGATTTCTTTCTTATAGCCCGAGCAATTGTATAAAAAAGAAAGTCTCGTTTGGTACAAAAAAATTCAGGCTTTAAATGAAATAATACATGCGGTATTTTCTAAATAATATTAGATAGTATTGCATATCAATACTTATTACAGAAACGAAATGCACCGAATAACTCACAATTGAATCATGTTTGGTGGTGTGTGACTGATACCAAGGGGTGGGTGTGGGCGTGGATGTGGGGTGTGGGTGTGGATGTGGGTGGGTGTGGGGTGTGGGCGTGGATGTGGGGTGTGGGTGTGGATGTGTGTGTGGATGTGGGTGTGAATATGGGTGTGGACCTTTTGCGCACTCCAACACTCACACTCACCCCCCCCCCCCCTAAATTTATGTGTCTTGACCAAATTTAACACTTTTGAACCTTATTTGTAAGCTTCATTCGGGCCAAAAAAAAACTTTAAGTATCTCTCTATTATCGGGCAAAAACTGAGCTCTTTACATTTTACGGGAGTGGAGATACGCCATTTTCTTGAATGATCAGCACTTTGGGGACACTCTGTACATTAAAAATAGATGTTGTTGAAAAATATTTACATATTGTCCTCTGTTTATTGAAAAATAATGCATCAAGTTAGATTTATTTTTATCAAAAATCTAACATTCAACATTTACTTGATGTTTTTGAACTCGGTTCAATTAGTAAAAAAGATTGTTCTATACAAAATATGGTAAATGTTCAACTGTTACTAAAAATAAGAAATAAAAAAAAATTCTTTTTCAAGAACTAGCAATATCATTGTTCTTTTTGTATTTATTCAGATAATTCGAGCACTTGTATCACCAAAAAATCGTAAAGAAAATATTGTTGCATGCCAACGTATAATTTACCAATGTGGTAAGAAGAGAATAAAAAAAAGAAAAAAGAATTTTTAATGTCTTTTAAAGGTCTATTACATGGTATGTGGAACATGCTTACAATTCCAACTATTCCTGCTCAGATCATAATTGAAGTACGTTTAGTTTCGGTATTTGAATCGATATATTCTCCAATATGTTATAAGTTCTTAATACAGTTGGTGATGTTGTTCGTGATAATATTGAAAATCAACCATTTGTTAATTCTGTAGTGAATACATCTGGTGTCATTCAAGAGTTAATAAATCTTCAAACACTCTTAATTATTAATATCAATTAAGTTTTTTTCTAGATCAATATTATTCAATCTTCTATATGCAATGATTTGTGATGAAGAAAAATCATTTTCACTTCAAATATCAATCCTTTATTTTTTACAATGTTATTTACACAAAAATAAGATCGGAAAATCAATAATCATTCAAACACTTTCACCTCAAACTAAGAATGGTCAGTATTTTGTTTTAAAAAAACAGAAAAAAAATTGTTTTAATTTCATTTAGCTGCTAATCAACACACCATGGATTATTTCTTAAGATCCGGTTATTTAAGTAAAGATATTGTGGCGTCATGGTGTTCCGGCATTCTACTTTCACATTTAGTTGTTGATAGTCCAAAATCTAAAGAAGATATACTTGAAGTTAAATTATCAGTTGATCAAACACAAACAAATGCTAAAACATTAATGGAAATATGAATTGATTTATTATATAATGTAAATTAAACAAAATCTATGTTTTATATATATTTTTTTCTTTTCATTCTCAATAGGCTCCATCTTTATGTCATACTCGTGTTGCGGTACTTATTTTTATATGTACATTGTTATCAAATAGTTCACCATCAGTACAACCATTAGTTTCAATTGAAAATGGCATTACGTACGTATGTCTAATGTTTATCAAAAGATATTTCTCTTCCTAAATTTTTTCTCCTTTTTCAGATTATTTCACAAATACGTGATCAATCAATGGAAGATGATCGTGAACTTCTTATTCAATCATTATGTGCATTTGCTTTGGGTTTATACGTAATTTTTAATAATAATAAAATACCATCATGTTCAAGGTAAAAAATGTTTTTTTAAATCTCTTTGAATTCTTCTTTTTTTTTCTCATCTAGTGAATCTATTAAACAAATAATAGAAGAAGATATTGGTATTAATTTATTTCAATAAAAATTTCAAATACTTTTAAGATCTGAATACTTCAGAAAAGCTAAAGAACAACTATAGGTTTGTGGGTGGGATAGGGGTGTGGGTATAGGTAGGGTGAGGGTGTAGGTACGGATGTGGAGTGTGAATGTGGGTGTAGGTGGGAGTGGATGTGAAACAGATAACACCAAGCCTCACACCAACACCCACACCCACACACCCACATCCACACCCACTCACCTCCACACACACCGACACCCACATACACAACCACACCTCACACTGGACAGTTGCATCAGATGCTATGGCAAAGATGCAACATATCGATTTATCTTGTCAATCTACAAACCAAAAGTATTTTACACGTGTCTTTAGAAAAATTAAAAAACAAATTGAGGATGAAATTAAAAAACAAAATCGTTTAATTTCCCAATTAACAATGTCGAATGAATTTTCACCGAGTAATAGTAGAAGACATACAAGTACGACTAAATTTACAATTACAATTGAACATGAACATACAAAAAAAAAACTAAATATGATTTTTGTTTCGAATTGATCATAAGATTATTTTTCTTTGGTTTCCTTCTTGTTTCACATATTAGATAAATATATGAATATATGAAATGAACACATACGCATATAAGTCTAAATAGAGCACTATTTCTATATTCATATTAACTTTCAATAAATGCGAAGCGCGTAATATTCATCTATTTTTGGAAGGTAAACGACTTGGTAACCATCTGATATGGTATCATGGACTAATTAACTAAAATATAATTGTTGTCTATAAGACCGATTAACTGCAACTTATATTCGTTTTCGGTAATAAATTGACTTCGCGAACTCCATTTTCGACGAAACTGGAATTTACTGATTCAGATGTCATTTTAGTCGGATTGCTCTTTTGACGTCTATTCTCTAGTTTTTTCGAGTGTTTTTCTGATATAGTTGACAAAGCAATAAAACAAAGCAGTTTGAGATAGAAAGGCTCATATGGGTGTGAGTGTTGGTCTTCTCGCAACTTCGATACCCACACTTGCGCCCGCACAAACATTTTAGAAGAGAGTTCGACCAAGTTACCCGATCCCCGTATATATCCATTAGTGGCATTGCTCGAATTTAGACAGACTTTCAGCCTTCTGCAATGAAAATATAGGTCAGAAAAGCTGAAATGTAACGCCTCAGAGGATCAGTCTCTTGGTTAGAAGATTAGTGCACGAAACATGATTCAGTTTTCTGTGTATCAATCTTTAGAGTACATTCAAAAGATTTGTACAGGAATAAATCTCTAAAAACAACACATGCAAGATTATGCAATTTACAAATGAATAGTGGAAAATTGTAGTCAAACCAAAAACAGGATACAGAAAAATTAATAAAAGCTGAACGTAAAAAAGATGCGAACAAATAAAAATCATGTCTATAAAAAAAATCTAAGACCGAGTATAGTACAATTAATCAAAACATGTCATTTCCATCCGAATTTTTTCTTTAAACTGTTAAATACATTTGTCTTCGTTTTCACTGGATCAGAACCTAATTAAAAAAAGAAGAGAAAACGAAAAGGCAGAAAAAAGATCATTTAATTCAGCATAGTGTAAAGCAAAGCTGTTTCCAAGGTAGCATAGGATAAGTCAATTTAATCTGCACTAAACGGGTTTGAAGATTTTTGTGAATATTTCCTAGATATTTTCAGCAAAAACTTTTAGGTCAACTGAGAGTTATACTAAAAGTCACACTTTGTTGGTATTCTGTTAGATGATGTATTAAGAAAACCAGTTTTATGCAAATTTAACTCAAGTTTTTTACTGAGTAAAAAGTATATTATTAACCTGCCGAGCACGACAGGGTGCCAATTTATGTCGATAAGAGAAAGGCAAAAAAAGAGTGCTATGAACAGCTCTGTTATGAAAGCAGTACATAGTCTATCATTTCTCTGAACTATCTACCTTGATTTTCTGCACTAGACGCTTGATGCACTTCTCTTGCTTTGTTTTCATTCAATGTTGTTGTCGTTTTATTGCGAGTAGGAGTGGAGAGCTCATCTTTCTTCTTGATATTATACTATGAAAGCAGATCGAGAACGAAAACTTTCTTAGAAGAGAAATGTAGTGCCGGAAACTTCTACACTACTCACTTTATCACGAATTTTCTGCCTTACTTCTTCACGCTCTTTTTCCACCTTAGTGTGTCTTGCTTTTCGTTCTTCTTCCATAGTTGCTTGTCTGTTTTGTTCAGTCTAGTAGTAGCGGAATAAAATTTGAAACATTCTAAAATGCAGCATTTTTTAAAAGAAAATCTATTATGCTTACAAGCAGTTCTCCGTCAGAAATACCGATATCTTCTTTTTCTTCATCGTCACTTTCACCAATAGTTAGCTCTAAGAAACGACATAAATATAGTGATGACCAGAAGTTAATGAGTACCCTTCATAGTTTTTACAACTTTATCAAATTCATTTTCAATCGTTGCTTTCATAATATACGAAGCCATTGTTTTGACTTATGTTACTTACACACACACAGAATTCTTAAACGAACAATTTTACTTCACGTTTCTTTTTAACGACAAAAAAAGGAATGAAATATAATGGCATGCACATGTTTTTTTTTTGTTCTTTCATCATACACACTCATTCAGGCGCATCTTTTTTTCTCTTTCGTTTCTTTCATCTCTTGACACTGTAATTTCAGACGAACAAAGGAAGAAAAGTAAAAAATAGACGTTCTTGTGCCATTTTTTGCAAGGATCGGATTTCTGTTTTGCTTTTCTTCCATTTTTCATTAATAACTGTGCGTTGTTAGTTTTCTTGCAGTAAAAAGTTTTTATATCTGGAAGCATTGTCAGTAATACTCTCGAAATCAAAAATATGTTGCAGGTTTTTCCTGAAAGTTTCACGAATACATTGAATGTTGCTCTGTATGCTTTGAGATTGGACTCAACTAGAGGTGTAAGCCGATTGCTCGATCTGCGGCGGCGCGAATGATTCGAATCACTAGGTTTTACAGCGGTGGCGGCTAAAGGGTGAGATGTGGGTGTGAGTGGGGTGTCTGTGTGGATGTACGTGTGGGTGGGTATGAGTGTGGATGGAGGAAGGGAAGATCCACTTTCACATCCACCCGCACCGACACTCACTTCCACGCCGACACTTCACCCACACTCACACCCAGCCATCCACTCACACCTCACACCCACACCCACTCACATTCACACCCTCGGCACCACCAGCTTTAATTAGAAGAGCTTGTTTATCCTTTTGTTCGGATAGGCGATTAGCTAAGACAGCACCAGCAGAACCTGATCCAACACTAATATAATCATATGTAATTTCATCAGTTTTTGTTTTAGAAAAGTCACGTTTCCAACGTTGTATAACAGCTGGTGATTCACTGACTACCGGTGCAGCAGTCTGTTTAGCAACATTGGTTTCTCCCACTTTTCTTGTGCAAAAATAATATCAACTAAATAAAATAGAAAAAAGCACAGATGAAAGTATTAAAAAACATGTTATTTCTTGCTGTCACTGTAACTAAACCATTAAATAAACGCATCTATTGTAAACCTAAAGAAGACCTGAATGATGACGAGTTGATGTCCTTGCCTTCTCGAAAATGCGTATAGTTTTGTCATAAAGTGCAAAACAAAAGGATAAAAAGATAAAAAAACGTGTAACGTTGCTTATCGGAACAGCACATTTTACCTGTGTGCGAATAATCTAATAATTAATTTATCTTGAACAAAAGAAAGTCAACTAACATATATATAATTCAGATATACAATCATGCGAAAAAACCCGAACCCATAGGTATATTTTCCGATAAATGGTAAAAAGAAAAATTAACAACAGTGGGTGAGAGTGAGAATGAGTATTGTGAGAAGGAAGTCACGATTAATTTCGACCTTTCCCGAGGGTCTCACTGTGCATTATCTTCAAGAATATTTTTTTCACTTTTCAATAAGTGTACTAGTAGCGACGGTGTGAGGTTTTTTCTCTTTGAACACAAGATCAGTGTCAAACAGAGAGACATCTGTTCTCGTTAGGATTAATTTACAGTACACCTATTCATCGTCTTCGTTCATCGCCAAGAAATCGATTTGTCCATCTTTCTACTATGTAAGGGTGTGAAGGTGAGGAAGACAAAGACAATTGCCCTCACTCTAACTCTCGTTTTTATCTTTTCGTTATTTTTTAAGAGCCGTTTTCTTCGATTTGATTCTTACCCACTCACATCAATTATAAAGCAACAGAACACAATAAAGCATATAACGATGATTTTAGTGTTTTACATTCATCTTTCCAACTTGACGATAGCTAACATTACTTTACCTATCTACACACATTATCATAGATATAAAAAGCCATACATTGTATAGCCAGAAGCCATTTCAACACAAAACATCATGACTCACATCACTATACCATCATTGCTGACATTACCTGTCGAACTAGTCTATCGAATTCTCGATCATCTGCAACCATTGGGTATTCTTCTTTCAGTTCGTGAAGTATGCACACAACTGAATGCCAAGATGTGGGTGTGTATATAAATCTTCTCTACACTTACAACCACACCCACACCCATACCCCACCCTTGTTGAGTTAGTTCATTCAGTTCAGTTAGTTTTCTCGTATAAATAAACAAGCTTTTCTGAATCGTGGTTTCTGTTCGATATCGAATATGATAAAGTTTATCTGAAAGAATGCTAGAATTAATCCAAGACAGAATTTTTATGCCCATTATTATAGACGAGGTATTTTACTATGTATTCATGTAATAAAACTTTCGATATTAAGTATTTTATAAAATATTCACCACCTTAATCAGAACTTTTGATCAACCCTAAGTGAAACATACTCTGCATAGAAAATGTTTATTAAAAATGGTTTTTTCTATGAAGAACAGTGTAAAATAAATGTCAAAATTTAATGCGCATATTTTTTTGAAATAGACTCCCAAGTTACGTAACGTTTATCATCAAACTTTTTTTCATCATGTCCAGTCGGAAATTCTTCAAGTCTAATAGCTTGGATAGTTGGTCTTCCGACTTTCAACATACCATCTGGAAGCCATTTATGTGTAGCAAGAATCCTTTCATTATTCCAAAAAACATCACAACCAAAATGTGCTTTATGTTTTCTTGCTTCATTTGGCAAATCGGCATTGATTTTAAATCGCATTTCCCAAGGTTTTCCATCACCAGTTTGTCCTTGGAAAATATTTTCAACTTCGACAACTTGATTAGAGGAACCATTAACATGCTGATAAAAATTATTTGTTGGATTAGAATTTTTTAAAATTTCGATGACCCATGACATAGCTTCACCTGATGCATCACCACGTTTCTTTTGTTCCGCACATTTTATCATATCTTGAAGAACTTTTTTATTAGCATCTTCAAGACTAGAAGCATTTTCATCAGACATTTTTTATTAGGTTGATACTTCTAAACGAAAATATTCAAACAGTATTATCATACAAAAAAATTATTTTATATCAATAAATGTTCTCATGATGAGATAATCGAAATAACGAACTCAAAAAAATCTTCCTTACGAGATTTTTTTATTTCTTCACGTAAAGAAATCTTAGTTGTCGTTAAACTAGCTTACGTTGAAAATAGTTGAATATTTATGCTAAAAACAAATCTTTATGACATATCCTACTTCATTTGTCGATGTTTTTTTTCTTTCTTTCTAAAATTATCCTACATCATATCAAGCACATGCCAGGCGAAAGTTTAGTATAGATTAAACGAGAAGAAATGAAAGAATGAAACAAAATAAGCCATAACAAGTATATGAATTATTCATTTTCTAATAGGTAAAATGATAACACCAATCGGATCTGAGCTAATAAAAGAAAAAAAATACTACTAACACCATCTCGACAAGTATACATACCATAGAAAAGCGAATGAAAGGCTGTTTTGCATCGTGGTCTTTTCTTTTTTTTTTATTATCTTTATTAGTATCTACACCGTTGTCTGTACCGTGTAAAGAGAACAACGACGGAAGAAATAAGTAATGAGCAAAAAGGATTGCCATGAAATAATCAGAAATCTATTTAATAATTCAATAAAAAAAATATTTTTCTCTAAAATTGTCTGATTGTCATAATATGATTTAAAACATGAGTACATCATGGAATTGTTGTTCGGACAAAATTCAATCTGGAAATGTGCACTCGCTTGTCATGGATAATAACGAAATTGCAATGTATATGTTAATTATGACAGGAAGTTAACAATTGATTCTGAATGAAAATTTAACAAATGAATTAGAATCGGTAAAATAGATTATTCTATGGACCTTTCATGTGTTTTCAAAGGAATTAGTAAATGGGTGTGGATGTGTGAGGATATGGGTATGGGTGTGAGTGTGGGTAGTCATCTTGAGGGTGTGGGTGGGTGTGAGTGGCTATCTTGAGGGTGTGTGTGGGTGGCTATCTTAAAGGTATGTGTGGGTGTGAATGTGGGTGTCCGTATGGCTGTGGGATGGCGTGCCTTTAGGTGTGTGTGGAGTGGTGTGGGTGTGGGTGGGGATGTGGGTGTGGGGTGTCGGTGTGGATGTGGTGTGTGGAGGTGGAAGTCGGAGTTGACGTGACTTAAAAGAAGGGCCGCCCCCACACTCACACACCCACTCCCCACCTACTCATCCATCCCCCACCTACTCATCCACCCCGACACCTACTTACCCACACCTCATACCCACATACCCACACCTCATACCCACATACCCACACCACCCTTATTGTTTATTTCAATTTTTGGTTTATTTCAAACATTATTTTACATGCTTCCATCACAGAGTCGATATTTTCTTGGTCATCATCTTCAAGCTCATGGTTTATATGAGATGCAGCACAATGGGGCTATACATAATTTTATTCGAAAATGTTCACCAGACTTGATACTGATGCTAAGATTATATGAAATCGAACTGGGCAATACATTAACAGGTGAAATGATCGGCCAACTTTTTATTATATTCAAAACAAATTATGTTCCAACAGAATATTCACTAGAAACACAACTCCAATAATTCCGTCATTTGTGTTTTGCTTGTGATTCTAACTACCTAGAGCATACCAAAAGTAGTGATCCAAGTACTTTTTTTCTTATAGAAAGCTTGAAAAAATTGTCTTTTTTATGAACTGATAGAGCGTCTTTCGCTCTATTTTTCTATGCTATTGGATCACTATTCAACTAATATCATAATAATCGAACTTCGATAAGAACTGTTTTTATTGAAAACTAGCTTGTGCTATTTAGATCATAATGAGTCTGGCATAAAAAATGAGGCACTCTTGCATTTCATTTTATCATCACATAATATCTTGCATTAAAAAAAAGAAAACATACCACAAGAGAATCGTGAAAAGTTCTACAATTTATAAACGATCGTTTATTTTATAGTTGCACTTTTTTGTTTTCAAAATGAACACAACTCTGAGCTGCCAAATTTCGACGTTACGAAAACGAGATTGTTTTTTGGTAAAAGACGAATTCATTTTTTTCTACCTCATCTTTCTATAATTGTTCTTTCTAAATTGTAGAGCTTTTCACGCTGCATCTTATAATATATTTTGTTTTATAAAATGAGACACATCAGGTAATAAAAAGATGAGATAAGAAAAAAATCGAATTCGTTTTTTACCAAAAAACAAATTCCGTTTTGTAACGTCGAAATTTGGTAGCTCAAAGTTTTGTCCATTTTGAAAACAAAAAGTGCAACTATAACGCTGTATTTTGTGATATATTTTGTTTTTTAATACAATGTATTACGTGATAATCAAGCAGAATACAAAAGTGCCACACCTATAATGTTCTAATGGTACCAGCTAATTTTCAAAAAATACAGTTCTTATCGAAGTTTTATTATTATGATATTAGTTGAATAGTAGTCAAATAGCATAGAAAGATAGAGTGAAAGATGCTCTATCTGCTCATAAAAAAAGAAAATTTTTTCAAGCGGTCTATACGAAAATACAATATCAGGCTCACTACTTCTGGTATGTCCTAAGTATGTCGAAGTTTAAATGTGGTATTTATTGTTCACCAAGTAGTGCACATTCATATATTGAATCATCTTATACTAATTTGGAATCTGGATGTCATGGCTGCTTTAGCTATGTGATTGATCAATTCAAAAATAGTTTTCGCTACATTTTTTATCATACTATACCTACGGCTTGGTTGCATTTGTTGATATTTTGCTCTTGAAGAACTATTAAATATAAGTAAATTAGAAAAGAAAATGGCGTCTTAGAATAAGCACAGTTAACTTTGTACTCATTAGGCAAAAACAAATAATCCTGATATCAAAGTTTTGGATTATTACTTATATGTGTGATATCATTCGTTGGATTATATAAAGTATTCAGTTTTGAATAAAATGCATTATTATGTGCCATCTATTAGATCTGTTCATTCTAATTTCAAACACGATCAATAGCAAAATAACATAGTAACTATGTTGAAATATATCTATAAAACCATTACCGTATATAAATTTGTTTCTTTTTAATTTCATTTTACTTTAGTAGTTTTCTAAACCGAGCTAGCAATACTTATGATAGGTCACTGTCCGCGTATCGAAATTGTTATCACTATTCGTGTTCGTTTCACGACTTAGAAATACTAAAAAATCTCAATGAGAAGTTGACAGAAAATTGGTTCTGTCTGGTCGAAACGATTAAATCAATCTCCATATTTAACGAAACTAAATAATACAGTTTCATAATCATTCAGACTAAACATATCTGTTATTAATACTTCACAAATCAATTATTTTTATGCAATTTATTTTTCTTACTTCAATTAATTCATTGCTGATGCTGTATGAGACGAACTTTATTTTTTATAGATTGCATAACAGGCAATATCCTTCTAAAAGATATTCAGAATTTACTTTTGTAGAGGGTGTATTCTCTCTGTTTGATCGAAAAATCAATTACAAGCTGATCATAATGGTAAAATACGGTAAAGCAATATATTTGGAGATGTTAAAAAATTTGTCTCGATCTGTAGTATATTAGAAAAACTGTTCTACAAGTTGATGTTAGTTTCTTTCCATGCATTTTTATTTTAGTTAAAGTCCTAAATCCATACAAACTATTTACGGAAGTTAGAAGATCAAATAGAATATGCAGGATATTTTGTACAGTTTGAATAATTGTATGATGTTATAAAATAACAAAGAGATAGAAAAAATCAAAGCTAGAAAATTGTGTCAACTTGAAACACTATAGTATCTTTCTTTTTCACAATTTTTCTTTTATTGTGTAGCTTTTGAAAATAAATCGACAAGATATGAAACGTCATTTTGTTGAAGATTAACAGAGCACTAGATTTGCAATCTGTAGACATGTGGTTTTACTGAACATAACTAATCAGCAAAGAGTTATAGAATTTTTTTTATAATAATCATTGTGAAATTGTTTTTTCTCATCGTAAAACACAAATGTTGTCACTATAGTTCTCTTGAACTTGGCTCAACTGGCTAAAAAACGAACTGCAGATTTGTGAAAAATATTTTCCATTGATGTATTCATTTGCTTTTGTTGTAATTGTCGATTTTTATTAATTTGTTTTTAATTTGTTGATATCGAATGTTTTGGTTGAAAATTAAGTAGTTATATACAATCTTCAAGAGAATATTCTACAAACATCAAATATTCGTCCTTTAACTTTTATTGATAAAGAATCAAAAAAATACTGAGGAAATAAATTTACAACAAATAAATAAATTCTTTTCTACGTGAAATATTTTACCACGTTAAACGTTCGAATAACTTGTAATAGAGGATAAAGTTCAAGCATATCACGAAGTAACATATTTTGCTCAAAGTAGAAGTAGAAGTACAAATTTTTGTGTTACTCGTGGCCAAACCGTCTAAATTTATGTAAGCAAACAATTTCATTCTTATTATAAACTAATCGACTAAAATGTTCAATAGATGATGATGATGATGATGATTAATAGTAAAAAGCGTACTTTTAGGTTTCATATTTTTCTAGCAACTGTCGTCAAAAATCTGAGTTCATCATTCGATCGAGTTCGTTGAGTTATATCTGCCTCAAAGTGTTGTTGAAGTGGCGCAGCAAATTGAACAAATCATTTTGAAGAAACTCGTATCGATTGCTAACTTCTCGTACATGATTGTGAAGCCCCAATACATTTTTAATCCTATATGACGATGGGAAAAAAAAGTAAAGTCAAAATATAGAACACATTTTGTCCAATCTTTGATTCACTCTCTCTTTCCGTTCTTCAAGCTGTTCGATAGATGAGTGATAGAATAAGCAAAATAAAGGTAATATTTTTATGTGAAAAAATCCCAGAAATCTCAATAATATATGATCACGCGTTACTTAATATAAACGGATGAATGCGCACAAGCCAAACTTATTTAGTGGTGTATATACAAGCAACATAATGCTTTTATCTTTTGCATAGAACAAACGTCGATACATTACAGTGTTATTCTTGTTGTCATCACACAATATTTTGTACGAATACAGCGAGTAAACGTAAGTTTTTTGAAACTGTATTCTTCTCAGAAGGCCTTTTTCGTCATCAGTATCTAGTAGATTTTTCTATTCTTAAGTAGTACCGCTAAGCTTTTATAGTATTTTTTTCGCGTCATAATAACTATATTTCTGCTGACAAAAATATTCCGAAGTTCTGTATGAAATGAATAGGAGATATTCATTACTGTAAAGCCACGTTTTCCACAAAGCATTCGTAGCAAGAACTGTTAATACGATTTGTGAATTTCAACGTAGAATACAATCATTTTAGAATTGTATTCGCTTACCATTCGAAGAGATTTGGCTTCGCTGAAAATTAGATATGATGTTGGATAGAAAATAAGTGCATCAGGAAACTTTCATAGAAGGATTTCTCTTCAACTGGGTTTTGGCGAAGCATACGTTTAGGATATTGTCTTCAGGAAGAATAGTTTTAATTGCATAATGGCTCTTTTTGTGATGTCAACAAAATTCGAGCCGGTAGGTCTTGGAAAAACTGTGTTCTCCCTAAAATTCCTCCTATGGTTAGGATTATTTAGAAAATGTTCAAGTCATAATGACGAAGTGGGATAATGGAGTTACCTTGTACTTGTATTATCCAGAACCCTAGGAGGCACTGCACGTAAGCCACGATCAACGTTGCTCAATCGATGTCACTGATTTGGCTAACATTTTTACAGTAGGTAGGACCAATAGACCTAGGAAGAAACTGAAAATTTTAGCTCAAACCTATGAGCCATTTTGGAGATATAGACGATACAAGTGTGAGGGGGGTAGGTCCCATTTGGAGTACTTCATAGTGCAACACTTTTCAGTAAATCTCCATTTTCTTGAGAACAACAAGAGATATAACCGAGATTTTTTTACCATAAATATTATCGACGATGGGCTATATTTTTATGGTAATAAAAGTATCTCATCCCTGGATGATTTTTGCCTGGCATTACATACCATTTTCAGAAAACATCCTCACGTAGATACGGCAAGTTGGTCGAATCAGCGCGGTAGAATAAATCGAGAGTAGTCTCATCTGAAAGAGCACATCAAAATGCATCGACTGACGTTTTCAAAAGTTTGTAGAATTGAACTTTGGTAGCAAACATTTTTTAAACAAGACTGGAAGGGCCAAATTTGGGTCCCGACTCTCCCTATGAAGATTGATGATTTATTTTCAAATATTCAATTTAAGTGTTTCAAATGAAAGCCCTTGTCGAGAAACCTCTAAATTAAAAATTTCAGCTCATTTGAACTTGTCTGTGAAAAATGGTGAAGGAGTTACTTTTTAGAATTTTACAGAGTAATATATATAGTCCGTCTAAGCTTTCTAATAGTCATATTTTAGTTAAAGTGCAACCAAAAGATCTGAAATTTTCACCATAAACTATTCTTATCAAGTCCTTAATATACACAAAGTTTTAGGTCAAAATTCGAACTCTGATTTTTCTTCCTGGTCTTGAGGGGAACCACGACAATTTCCCATAGGGAATTCGAAAAAAATCAAAGTTCGAATTTTGACCTGAAACTTTACATATAGAAAGGGCTTCATGAGTATAACTTATAGTAAAAATTTCAGATCTCTTGGGTGCACTTTAACTGGAATATGAATGTGAGAAAAATTAGATGGCCTATGTATTCTATTCTATGATATTTCACAATAAGTAAATGTTCCATCATTTTTCACAGATAAGTTCAAATGAGCTGAAAATTTTAATTTAGAGGTTTCTCGATATGAGCTTTCATCTGAAATGCTTAAATCGAATATTTGAGAGTAAATCGCCAATCTGTATAGTGAGAATCGGGCCCTAAATTCGGCTCTTCCAGTCTTGTTCAAAAATTTTTGCTACCAAAGTTCAATTCTACAAACTTTTGAAAACGTCAGTCGATGTATTTTGATGTGCTCTTTCAGATGAGGCTACTCTCAATTTATTCTACCGCGCTGATTCGACCAACTTGCCGTATCTACGTGAGGATGTTTTCTGAAAATGGTATATAATGCCAGGCAAAAATCATCCAGGGATGAGATACTTTTATTACCATAAAAATATAGCCCATCGTCGATAGTATTTATGGTAAAAAAATCTCGGTTATATCTCTTGTTGTTCTCGAGAAAATGGAGATTTACTGAAAAGTGTTGCACTATGAAGTACTCCTAATGGGACCTACCCCCCTCACACTTGTATCGTCTATATCTCCAGAATGGCTCATAGGTTTGAGCTAAAATTTTCAGTTTCTTCCTAAGTCTATTGATCCTACCTACTGTAAAAATATTAGCCAAATCAGTGACATCGATTGAGCAACGTTGGTCGTGGCTTACGTGCAGTGCCTCCTAGGTAGCTTAGCAGAATAAGTGTTTTCTGAAAGGACGGGGGCGTATGAGCATTCGAAAATGGGCCCCTAGCTGATCATAGAAAATTCATTAGTAACTCTGCAGAAAAGTGAGGCGAGTTTTCGTATACCGAATCCAAGGGAAATTTTCGATATTCAAGTTGTTTTCAATTGAAAATACTGTAAAACATCATAAAAGTCTTCTAAGATCTTTAGTGGGTTCTTAGTGTATTGGTAGGAGAGTTCAATATTTAACCAAAATATAAAACTTTTTGGAAATATGGTAAGTCCAATTAGTCTTCAATAGAAAGAACATTTAATTCTGCATCATTCCATATAAGAACTATTATTTTTTTACGAATTTTTCCTTGGATTCGGTATACTAAAACTCATCTCACTTTTCTGCACAGAGTTACTAATGAATTGCTTATGAACAGCTAGCGACCGATTTTTCAATGCTTATACGCCCCCGTTCTTTATTATGAAAGTCGTCGAATCTTGAGTATAAAGTGTCTTTACACTAGAAATTGTCATGATTAATAAATGGATGAATTTTTCAGATTTACTCTTACTAAAGATCACCATGACAAGTTCAAATACAACCGAGACTATTTCCAGAATTGTCACTTCAAACAATGCTATCAAGCGTTCAACAAAAGATACAATACAAAAATTTCTAGGCTTGCAACAAGAATTTTTCAAAAACATCACTACTCAATACGATAAATTAGAAACTATCCACCAAGTGACCGATATCTTTTTTGATGATGAAAAAAAGGAAAAGCTTCACAACTTTAAAGTGTTTGATAAAATGCAATTGGTCGTCTGTGGCTATAATTCTGCAGGAAAGACGTCATTTTTGCATGATTTTCTCAAGTGCGGAAAGTTTCTGCCGACTGGAACCGGTGCCGTGACGGCTCGCATTGTCAAATTCTCCTATGCACCATCTGATCAAGCATGTCTATTAGAACATACCTCTGTGGAATCAACTTTTACTGAACGACAACCTTTATTTTTAAGCGATCTGTCGCCTTATTTTGATACAAATATCACAAATCGACGAGAAAATACCAAATCACTTAAAGAGACTGTTAAAAAGCATTTGGAGCGGCCCGATTACGAAGTTTCATCGCAAGAGTTTGTAGATTGGGCCTCACATTTAATCGAGATTCGCATTCCATCGCCGATTCTCGAACTTGGAATGGAAGTATACGATACACCAGGCTTTCTTGGCCACGATGCACCCGTTCTGGTCACAAATTTACAGACACTTGTCAAAGTCGTACGTCCTTCGCTCTTATTTCTATATGAAAACTCATCGTTTGCTGACGATACACTAAATTGTTTTCGTGCATTGAAAGCTGCACTTGGCCATCTAGAGGATACTGGCGTGTTCTTTCTGAATACCAAAGCCGATGTATCAACAATTTTGCGTGATGCTGAAATTGATGAGAACGAGGGTAAACTCGAAAAGGATCAGTGCGATAAGTTGCTTGATCAAGAACGAGAACGCCGATATGAACTATTGATAAAAGTGGAATCTGTGCAAAACGAAATGCCAGGCAATAATTTGCGTCCAAAACTGGCCGAATGCGATTGTTTCGATATATTCAGTGTAGACCAATTCAGCCATTCAATGACACAAGCAATGCAGCAAAAGGCAACTGATCGTATTATACAATTTGCAGCTGAATATGATTTGCAGGGAACTAAATATGTTAGTAAAATTATATTAGATGCTATCGATGCCTTCTTTGATTTCGTACTCGTCGTCAATCGACGTTCGCCAGCTACATGGAATCGATTACGCGAAGATGCTTTAAAATGGGGTGAAGAATTCTTTGGGCAATATTATACCAAACTTCATATAATAGCAGAGGAGATTCAGGAAGGTATATCTCAGAAGTTTTGTGAACGTCATGATGATATTAGACAAAAAGCTTCCATCGGCTTCGAAGAAACATGGCTCACACCTTACAGACTTGTATTGGATTCTATGCCAGGAAGCCGGACAAATGTACGCAATCTTCATGCAGATTTTATTAATTCAACTGTTGAAGAAGAAGTTATTCGACCTGTGTTAAAGCAGGTAATCAGTAAAATGAACAATGAAATGAAACAGCTGGCCTACGAACGAACTAAAATAATAACCTTAACCAAAAATGAGCTTCTCTGTGCAGCGTTTCGTGAAGTATTAACGAATATTACTAGGATCGAAAACCTACCCATAAATGTTGGTTTCTTTACTCGACTAATTTTAGAAACAGCAGGCATCATTTATCTTCCTTTGACACTACTTTTATGGGGTTTATCCATGTTGGCTTTGAGAAAGAGCTATAAATCACTGCAAATCGATAGAAAGCAAACAGCAGTAGATCACTATTTAGTTGATCTCGAACATCGTTTGGCTAATATTAGTAAAGAAGTGGAAGTAAACTTGCAAAAGTGGCTCAACGGAAATCACACACAATTCAAACGTAAGATAGACAATTATCACAGCATCGTTCAAAAGACAATGGAACACCGCGATAAAATCTATCAGCTGACTCGCGAATTTTCTGAACGATTTGCACGCATTGAGTGTCGCCTCATTGCCAATCTTGACATGGCTAAACATAGGGGAAATGATCCTGTGATTGGTAAAGAGTCAATAGGTCAGGGCGGCTTTTTTACTGTTTATCCAGCTTCTTGGGATGTCGACCAACAACTCGTAGCCAAAGTACTCCATGATCATATATCAAATCCTCACATGGCTCACTTGGAGGCACATTTTCATCGTACTGTCACACGTCTCCATATTGAACATGTGGTTCCCCTTAGTTATCTCTTCGAAAAAGAATTGCAGCAGCAGGCATCAGCATCAACATCCGTTGACAACAAGCAGCTCTTCATCCTTCTGCCTCGTTATCCGACCAACTTACGTGATTATCTTTTTAGAAAAAACGGCAATATTTCAATGGATAAAGCCGTGCAAATCGCGCTCGATATTGCCCGTGTGATTGAACATATCCATGCCTATGAATTTGTACATCAAGATGTCAAACCACGTAACATTCTACTTGACAATGATGAACAGGTCTTTCTCCCTGATTTTGGTACATGTCAACATGGTACTGGGAATGTAACCGTGATTGGATCGCGCCCATGCGCTCCAGAACTGACTACAGATCATCCGTTCTCCTACGATGGAGCAGCACTTGATGTCTTCTCATTAGGTACACTCATGTACGCAGTTGCACCTAAACAAACATATCTAGAACCAATGCAGCCGATCACACAGGCTGATCTGAACAGTCTTGATCAAACTGTTGTTCTGGATAGCTTTCAGCAACTAATACTTCAATGTGTTGATTTTGATCCTAAGCAACGTCCGACAGCATCACAAGTTGTTCAGAAACTGAAAGAAATTGCTGATCAAGTGGCTAATGGACGACCATGTCTCGTATGCTTGGATCAGCCGCGTTATCGGCGATGCCTTCCTTGTGGTCATAAGATCATGTGTAACACGTGCCTTGACCAAATGCAAAAATCAAATCCAATGCCCCGATGTATTCTTTGCAGACAAATATTCACGAGTACGCAGGAAGATCACGATGGACATACTTATGCAACGACCATTCGAACAAACCAAACATCATGATCCTGCAATTCCTATCAGTGTTTTTCTTAAGCTTAACATAAATATAAACGATTTTTTGCTTTCAAAATTGCATCTGCCGAATATCGATGACGCTGACATAGTATAACTACATTTTTTAAAATAAATTCTTCTAATTCTAATATATTTGACAATTTTGATGCGTCAATCAATGTTACCACCTTTCAGCTATTCTTTCACAAGTCAGCTTTTCCTTATTTTTTTCATCGTAAAACAGATTGACTTGTACATCTATGACACAAACCAATCTGCTGATCGCAACTCTTGCTTTTCAGCAATCGATGTTTTGTTGAAATAATTTCAAACATAGATAATGTGCTTTAAATTAAGAATAAATGCAGAGTTTATTTAAGCTATGTGTTCAATGTTTTTTATTGAAATACAAACACTCATCAGAGTTCTGTATTACAGTTTTAAGCACAAAATACAAAAAGCTAAATAATAGCCTAAAAAGAAAGCAAGAAGCAAAGAAAAATAAGAAAGAAAATATAGATATAAGTTGAAAATATGAGAGACAATAACTGTCTTAGATAGTCGAAAATCAACTACAATCTTGTTCAACATTCGAAATCTGTAATTCATTACATTCATTTGCTTCACATGTTATGATATATCAACTAATAGACATCAAGAAATACAGTCAATTCTAATGGGCTGGGTATGGGTTGCGTGTGGGTGTGGGTGGGTGTGGATAGGGGTGGATATACTTGTTGAATTAACTCACACTCCCACCCACACCTCACACCCACACCCTAGTTTGCATTGTCACCAGCTCTGTTTTGTGTGTGAAGACAGGTGATGTTACACTTTCCGAACAGTGCTGAGTAATAAAAAAGAAAAAGAAAAAGAAAAAGAAGAAGAACAGAAAAAAAGAAATATTTACTTTGGACTTGTGTCGCAAGTAAGTTATAAAGTGCACCTTCGAAACTAAAGATAAAATGTCGTATAATAAGTCTGACTCAAACAATGCTCAAAATAAGAAAATTCGAGATCTTATAGAAATTTCTCAAAATGAATCCTACTGGAATTTCTATGGTGAGAAACTCATTGATTCTGATATTGAATTAATTGCAAATGAATTGAAGCAAGGAAATAGAAACTGTCAAGTGCTTGATTTATTCAAAAACAAAATTACGTCTAAAGGTGCTCTGTATTTGAGTGAAATGTTAAAAGTAAACGAAACACTGCGAACTCTCAATCTTCGATGGAATCAAATTGATGATGATGGTGCAAAAAGTCTGTTCGATGTTTTGAAAGATGGGAATAGAACTCTTGAACGCCTTCATCTCGATCTCAATCAAATTACAGACAAAAGTGTCGTGAGTATTCTGGAAATGATCAATGGAAATCGAACGTTGACACTTTTAATTCTTACTGATAATCAAATATCAGAAGATAATCAACGACAATTAGAGAAGGCCGGCCAATTGAGAGAATCACTTCGGCTGGACATTCGATTCTGTTAGAGTTTTTCAAGTTTGCTCCAGTGAGAAGTTTATTTCTATTTGACATGATTAATTCTCTTCTTTTATTTAATTTAATATTAAAAACATAAAATTAACATAAACTAGTGATGTTTGGTATCTTGAAAAGATACTTTGTCAAACATAAACATATAAGGAACAGAACATATTAGAACAAACAAATTAAACTATTTTCAGTCAACTTTTATAGTGGTAGGAAAAACAAGACGGCAACAGTGACTAAGTCAAGATTTGATCCTTATCCGCAGCAGTGGACAACGATCCTATCAGTAGAAGAAGTGATAGATTCAAACGGAAAGTTGCCGTTCAGGTCAAAAATCCCACGTTGGAACGTTTCCACTTTAGAATAAACAGCATTCAATGCGGGTGTGAATATTGGTTTGAGTGTGGGTGTGGGTGTGGGTGTGGGTGTGGGTGTGGGTGTGGGTGTGGGTGTGGGTGTGGGTGTGGGTGTGGGTGTGGGTGTGAACTGATTTCTACTCCTTACCCTTATCCACCACCCACCACCTACACCTACACCCAAACCAAACAACAACTTACACATAACATACTTCATTGTCAATAACACCAAATAAAAAACTTTCTTTTTATTATGAATCCAGAAATATCAAAACAGATAGTGAACAACCCAAAAAGTACAAATCAACATAGCATAGTTCGTTCATCTCAAATACTTTTACCAAAATAAAACCATTGCTGATGATGACTCCTTAAGCAAGATCGAAATATGGATGATGGTTACACTGGTTCATATCGATCTTCACTCGTACTCTCATGGTGAAGAACATAAGGCATCCAGATAACAGAACGAATAAACACAATAAATTTAACGGCAATGTCAAGACATATATAAATATTATTAACATATGTACGTTTGGCCATTGTAATTATAAACATCGGAATATCTGTAATAACATCAACAACCATACAGTGAATAGCTGGGGCCATTTTCGCCGATGAAGATTTTTCTTCAAAACTGCCACCACACACCACCGTCAATGGAATCACCCAAGTAAAAAGATTAATAATATAAAACGCAAAATATGCCTTTATTACACTATCCCAATGAGATATCTTGGATTGATTTAGATACATTATAATAACAAGAATATGTGAAAGAAGACAAGCGTATTCATAACTCCATATTGTTATATACCTAAAAAAAATTTTCATTCATTCAGAATTAGAAAAATTCGAAAATTATTTTTCGGCAAATGCGAGACGGCGATACCCTTAAATTATCAAAGAATGGTGAATCAATTCACTGATGAAAACTTCACCGCTAATACATGAGAAACGTGCCTTATTATTTTTTAAAGAGAGTAGCAAGTCTGTTGTTTTTATGGTGCTCATAGTAGAAATAATAGCACGTCTACTGATAGTAGTAATAGATTTTTTCACTTGCACGTAGATATCTGTCAGTAGGGTTCTAGAACTTTTACATGTTTTAAAAATTAAATAGGCTTCTTATTTACAATTGATATGTTATTGTACTGAAGTATATTATTTCCCTAGTCTATTCTTCTCCATTTATCACATTATAATTTGTCTTTTGATTACGATTTTTCTTTTCTATATTTGACTCACGCAAAAAAATATATATCTTACCTTTTTGAACCAGGAAACCATAAAAATGGAGTTAATGTCCAAAAACATAATTGTAATAATTCTAATATTAATGATGCTGTTAATACTCTACCTTTTATTTCACTAGTTGGTAATTGATAGTGTATCTTATTATCAATTATAAAATATGATGTATGTTATAACTTTATTAATAATAATGCCTGAAATATGATGAATAACAAAACAATATGAATCATTTTCCAGTGCGTTTTTATCATTTTTAGCAAGTGAAACAAGTAAAAATGTTAAAGCCATTAACGCTATTAATGATAACGTTAATATAAATCCATCATAATAACCATAATACATGTCAACAATAATAATTATTATAAAGTATAATACTGAAAATAAAGTTGATCCTTTCATTATTAAACATGCTAATGTCTTCGTATAACTGTTACATCCATAGTTAATCGGTGGAATCACACCAAATGATATACCGGAAAACAAATCTTGTATAGCTGCAGCTAAACATGCGAGTCCTTGTATAAAACTAAGCCAATCCATTACGTATAAAACTAAGACGAAGAATACAGAAGGTGTATATTGAGTGTTAACGGAGATATTCGATCTTCAACGTATCTTCTGCAACCAACTTTATTTGCTAAACGGTCACAATATATATATATATGAATGCGATAGAAAAAATCTAAGATAGTAGGGAGAAAAACCTGACCGTGAAGGAAAATAGAAAACAATGCATATATATGTCGTGTGTCATTTATATGACATGATGGAAGAATAGAAAAGAAAGAAATATCCAACTATATGGGTCACACTATAACAATGAGTATGAATGATGATAAGAACAGCGACAGTTTACCTCCATCAAACAAGAAAACAAAAATATTTCTTATCTTACATAATAGCATCTGCTTGGTCAAAACCCTAAAAACATGCATGCCAAAATCTCAAGAATGTATTGGGCAGAGAAAATGAAGCGACTTTGCAAAGCATTTTCTCAAGTTAAACTCGATCAGAAAATTTCAATATTAGGCCAAAATAATAGAGAATCGTACCCTAAATTTTATTTTACATGTTAGTTGAAAAATAACTATGTCAAGTTGTTTTGCAACAGTGAAAATATTGGAAGCCACAAAAATCCTAACTGCTCAGCTGCGAAACAAGACAATACCGAAATGCAATTTGTTCTACTTGGAGGTTTTTCCATAAATTTAGTCCAAGATCTAAAAGAGGCAGAATTTTGTGGAGCATCTAACTATCTGTTGCTTCTTATACTCTTGTTTATTACTACATTGTTAAACGAAAAACAGCAAAAAGACATCTTTGATGGATGAGGTGATATTTTATTTCGAAGACTCCTTCATAGCTTGACTCATGCACATTATTGGTTTTATATAAAAAGATATAAAAGGATAGGGCCGTATAAGATGGCGAATCAGACAACTTCCAATTTTCCGATACAAACCATATAAAGGGTGTCTAGTAAGTTCTGATTCCCTCATGCAATATATTTTTCTTACATATTTCTAGAGTAGAAGAGGCTGATATTTATGGCATATATAGTATACGTTTTGATCTACTCTATGCTAGAATTTGAATTTTCTACGTATTATTGTTACTGAAATACAAGCACTACAAAAACCGAAAAAAACATGAGATGCAAAAGTAATACGACAAATATCAGTCCAGATTTCCCTCTGATATAAGGATGCTGAAAAGGTGTGAGTGTGGGTATCGATAGGAGTGTGGATGTTGATATTACTATGGGTAAACTCAAGACCAACACCGACACCCACACCTACACTCACATACATCAACACCCACACCCACAAAAATCAATCAAGTTAAATATCAACTTTTCAATATCATAGAAATAGATTGATCAACCTTTGAAGACAAAAATAAATATCAAAATAGAATGAATATATTTATTTATGGTAGAGTTTTTTCTTTAGTTCAATCGTTTTTTCAATATTTTATTCAGGTGTTCGTCGTTGATGAAAAATTCCTGATATCATGCCAACGAAGTATATTCTCATTATGATGATCCTGTACAATTTCTGCTTGGTTATATTCCTTTTATTCTATGACAAGATGACAGAAACTGAAAATAAATGGTAGTATTACTCGATCTTATCGAGCAGCATATTGATTTATTACATAAGCACTACTCTAAAGCAAAAGAATCGATGTGACAATTCTCGAAAAGCGGAAAAGGAAAGTCACTTCTTCATTTGTATACTCTCAAAGCATCGTTTTATAAATATATCAACCAAGCTAAAGAATCGCGTGAAATGTTTGCTTCGTCAATTTCTTCGTAAACGAGCATTTAAAGATCGTTGTTATTGTGACTTTTAAGCATAGCATCTGAAGATGTGGTTGTACATCAAAGAGTCATTCAAAACAATTATTATTTCGTTTTTTTTTTAAGTTTTATTCAATGAAATACCGCGAACAAAGTCAATTGAATGTTTGTTCTGAATAAAAAAAAATGGAATCGAGTTGTGCAAAAGAATTTTGAGATAAATTCAAATAGATTTTTGTTTTTATTTCACCAGAAAATAGACGGTCACCTAACTGTAAATTTCATGAACGGCTTTTATTAAAAGTAAAAAAGATTGAATATGATTGTATTAAACGCTAACATTTTTAGAAATCAATATCAAGAATAATCATAATAAAAAATAAATGAAGTCTAGAAAAAGCAAGAAAATGGATTATTTAAATTTATTGTTATTTTATTATTCGGTTAATCTGTAATCTGATTTTTAACACCAGCAGGATGAAGAGACAAGCTCATGAATTGAGATGTAAACAGATCAACCAACCAAGCAGGAAGCATAGAAATTGGATAAAAGAAAAATTTTGCGTACCAATCTGGATGATATCGAATACGAGGTTTACTATTCATTACGGCATGTCGGAGTGCTCGTACCACTTTTATTGGATTGTCAGCATAATTAAAAAGAAGATTATTTGTTACTGCTCTCTTAAGTAAATCATTGAAAAAATCTTCTCCCCATCTTTGGCGTACATCCGATGATAATCCATTCCATAATTCTTGCATTAAACGATCATGTCCTTCAATAATCGGTGTTCGTAAACAACCAGGTTCGATAATACACACTCGTAAACCCCATGGAGTCATTTCACGACGAAGACAATCAGAAAATGATTCAAAAGCATATTTTGAAGCACAATATGCTGACATACCTGGTGGAGTTATAAATCCCATAACTGAACAAATATTAACCACTCGACAGTCACGTTTAGCTATTAATAATGGTAAAAACTTTTTTGTCATAGTTACATGTCCAAAAAAATTCACATCCATTATTTTGTGCATGGATTCTAATGTTATCCAATCGATGAACCCACCTGCACCAATCCCAGCATTATTAACAAGTGCATGAAGTACATTTGTCTTTTCTTTGACTAATTCAAATGCAGCATTAATATCTTCTTGTTTAGTTATATCAAGACGAAAGACAGTAGCTTTAGATGAAAGTTTATTTTTCAATGAATCTACATTCTCAGGAACATATACACCAGCAAGGACTTTAAAACCTTGTTTATCAAGTTCTAAAGCCAATCCATGACCAAATCCTGTATCACAACCACTAATAAGAACATATTTATCCTTTGAATTGATATCCGGTGCTGGAAAAAAATGTTGATACAAACGGTAAGCCCCATAGAGGATGATTATTAAACCAATAATTAGACACATGATAGTTTATTCTGCAAGACTTTCGAAAAAAAAGGCTTGGTTATTTTCACTAAATATGATAAGAAATAAAAGAAACATGTGACACTTCGTAAAGATAAATATCTATATAGATAATAAAAACAATTCGTTTATCATATATTTTTCTTACATATATGTTTATCTGTAAAAATATATTTTGTTCATCATAATGAGATAAGAACATATGTTTAGAAAGACACAAATGAAGTCATCTTTATAGAAAAACATTCGAATAAAACAATATTTTTCATTTATTATGCAATTATAGAATTACAAAAAAAAAATTAGATTTATGTTGGAATATCAATAAGAATCAACAAGAAATTATAAAAAAGACAATAATGGTTAATATTCAAAGACATTTAAAGAAAGAAATAGTTTATAAATTCTTTATATTTAACATTTGGCGCATCCATAGACGGTGAAGCGACTAGACCTGAGAAGGATCGATCCTATCCAAGATTGAACGAGTATAGACTTTAATAGACTTGATTTAATGTAAAAATTTTCTATTATTGGTTAATTCTTATTTTCTTCTGATAGATGATGTGTTAATATAAAGTTCAGTCCGTATTTAATTCACTATCGACTCTTGCGTCCAATGAGATATTGTTTGAGTTTCGTTGGCATCTACGTTGGCATGGAATTTTGTGTTCTTAATACTAGGTACTCCAGTTGTTCTCCTAAATTTCTGCACTATGTAGAACAATTATTTGAATACCTCTAGTTATTCTTTTATAGCGCCGCTATTTCACACCAAAAATATTTCGAATAATATCTTATTTTGATAGAAAAAATAGTTTTCTAGACGTTGATATGCTTTTCAAATGGAAAAATTATTAATAGAATCTTCAAAATTTCGAAATATTGGAAGTCCTGTAAGTTTTACAAAGCACTCAAATTTCTCAGGTTTCATAAAATGAAGAATCGACTCCAAATATATCATTTGATATGGGAGATCAATCTGAGTCAGATCGTTTCATCCGCTTTCAAAAATCATTAAATAATAAAGGCATTAATTGCTAATTACAATTAGTCTCCTAAATCATTAAATTAGGGATGTTAATTTCAATTTAGTCATCGTAGATTTTTTTGTTTTTCGTTAAATAAACAGTGTTCTAGTCAGCAGCGAATCTTTCGATAAAAACTGCTTATAGTTTTGATTAGGTTCTAAAAACAAATTCAATATATATTTTTTAAATGCAATTGAAATTTTAAAAAAAAATAGTAAAATTTCACCGACTTAAATAAATATGTTAAATGATATTGCATTTTCAAAATTTTTTGAAATAATTTGTACTCACATAGAATTCAAATAGAAGTTTACATTAAAATCAAAAATTAAGATATAGAATGACATGATACATTCAGCTGGATAAGCTAATCGGTATGCAAACTGAAGGTCTAGAGATCTATACTCTGTTTTCATTTCTCTTATGATCTGTTTAATCCTTTATCCTTCATTGGCAATTGGAATTCCCATTTTGTAGCATGACTGCAGAAAATAAAGGAAGCATGGGATTTGAAAACGATAAAAAATTTTTGTAGTGAACTTTATGAGCTATCGATTGGTAAAAAGAATAATTTTTTTCATCGCTCCATCTTTGAGATATTTGGTCAATAAAATTGATAATTTTGAAAAAACAATGGAAAAACTCGAATTTTTCGAAACAAATCGTTTTTCACTTACAGTAAATAAAGATCTTTTCGAAATTTCTATGTGATATAAATTGGTGAAAGTGTCTACTAGTAAGTTAAATTAGTTTCGAATTCATTGGGATAAGTTGACCAATTGTCAAGGGGGAAACAGCTGATTTAAATCAAAAAAATAAAAAAAAAATAAAAAAAATAAAAAAAATCAAAAAATCAAAAAAATCAAAAAAATCAGAAAATTTTTAATTTCTTTTGTTCAAAAACATCAATCAAAAGTGAAAACAGCTGAAAATGAGATTTTTTTTGATTTTTCTGATTTTCTTTGATTTTTTTGATTTTTCTGAATTTATTGATTTTTTTGATTTTTTTTTGATTTTTCTGATTTTTCTGATTTTTCTGATTTCTTTTTTGATTTTTCTGATTTTTTTGATTTCTTTTTTGATTTTTCTGATTTTTTTGATTTCTCTTTTGGTTTTTCTGATTTCTTTTTTGTTTTTTTTTTATTTAAAGTCAATTGATTTAAATCAAAAAAATCAAAAAAAAATCAAAAAAATCAAAAAAATCAAAAAATCAAAAAAATCAAAAAAAAAATCAAAAAATCAAAAAAATCAAAAAAATCTGATTTTAGCTGTTTCCCCCTTGCCAATTGTACATACTAACTCACATAACTGACCAAGGAGCCATTATGAGGCATCTTTAGGATAATTAAGAGAAATGGTCATATATGTATTATAAACCTCAGCCCATGAGAAGTTCGGCTGATTAGTTCAGAGAATCAGCTATTATTTGTCGACAACCATCTAAGAGAAAATATATATTCAAGATTATTGTACCGTCAGAGAAATCACCACTTAGCTATTGATACATTCCTCGACGATATTGTTGATTTAAAGGAAAAATATTCTATGATAATGGATTATGGCAAGGACCAATATAACATTCGAAAAAGAATAGGGATCAATTCAATAAGCTATTGTCATTCGTATAATACATTTATGGAACCGACTTATACTCAGAATTATATTCTCTAACGAACAATACAATTACTACTTCGTGAATGATTTTTCTTATAGAAACTAGATGGTATATTAATGTCGGTTCTTTTTTAGGCCTTATTTAATTCAATCTTTAGTATTCCGATTTCCACCGTTAAAAAAATAGCTGTGGAAACAATGAAATTAAAATAAATAATGGAATTTTTTGAAGAGTATGTCCATAAAATAAAAGTTATTTTAAAATGAAAATGAGAAATTATTCTTAAATGAGCACAGATGCATGAATTATCTCGAGTACGCCACAGAGTACTCAAAATGATATCGTTCATGAAATAGATGTTGCGCCTCTTTAACACTGATTCTATTGCCGTCAATCTTGAGTATGATGAGTGTCTGGATTAAAACATAAAGGTGAATATGCAGCGGACAAGAAGAAAAATTGTCTCACAGTATTTTTTTGTAATGCTCGAGCCAGATATTCTGCTCCTTTAGTAAGGATTTGATTTCTTCTAAGGTCGAGCGTGGTGAGTTTCTGTATTGATACGCAATGGCGAAATTATAGTCGATGAAAAGAAAACTTGTCTCATCGTATTATTTTGTAATGCCTGAAACAGATGTTGTGCTCCTCGAGCACTGATTTCATTCAACCCAAGATTGAGTGTGATGAGTGTCTTTATTAAAACATAATCATGAAATTACAGTCGATGAAAAGAAAACTTGTCTAACCGTGTTATTTTGAAATGCTCGAGTTAAATATTCCAGTCCTTCATCACCAAATTTATTGTAGTGAAGATTAAGCTCTGTGAGTGTCTATATTAAAATAATATGGCCACTGTACATCCGATGAAAAGAAAACTTGTCTGACAGTGTTATTTTGTAATCCTTGAGCAAGATACTGTGCTGCTACAGAATCAATGTTGCTGCTTTCAAGATTGAGCATGGTAAGTGTCTGTATGGAAACAGAATCGTGAAATTATCGTCAATCGAAAGAAAACTTATCCGACTGTAGTATTCTGTAATGCTTCAGCCAGATATTGTGCTCCATTAGCACCAATATCGTTGCTTCGGAGGGTAAGGTTGCTGAGTGTCTGGATTGAAATATAATAGTGAGAATGTACCGTTGATGAGGAGAAAATTGGTCTTACCTTGTTGTTCTGTAATGTTTGGGTTAGATATTGTATTCCATTAAAATCAATGTTGTTTCCTCCAAGGTCAAGTGTCGTCAGTGTCTACATCGAAACAATATTGAATTTATAGGCGTACAAAAGAAAATTTGTCTTACCACGTTGTTTTGTAACGCTTGAGTCAGATATTATGTTCCTTCATCACCAATTTCATTGAGCCAAAAATTGAGCGTAGTGAGTGTCTATATTGAAGCACAATTGTGACTTTATATTCGATGAAAAGAAAACTTACCCGACCGTATTATTCTGTAATGTTCGAGCTATATATTTCGCCCCTTCAACACCGATTCTGTTATGGGAAAGGTCAAGCGTGGTAAGTGCCTGTATTGAAACATAATGATGAATGTACAGTTGATGAAAGAGAAAGCTCTCTGACCCTGTTATTCTGCAATGCTTGAGCCAGATGTTGTACCCCTTCACCATGAATCCCATTGAAGGCAAGATTGCGCGTAGTAAGAGTCTATATTGAAAGATAATGGTGAACTATAGTTGATGAAAAGAAAAATCGTGTCACTGTGTTATTCTGTAATGCTTGAGCCATGTATTGTGCTCCTGTAATGCCAATTTTGTTAAATTGAAGTTCTAGTGTAGTGAGTGTCTGCACGTAAATATCATGATGAATTTACATTTGATGAGAAGAAAACTTGTCTAACCGTATTATTCTGTAATGCTTGAGCAAGATACTGCGCCCCTTCTTCATCGATCTCGTTGGAACAAAGATTGAGCATGGTGAGTGTCTGTATGGAAATGAAATAGCGGATTGAACGTAGATGGGAGACAAACTTGTCTCACAGTGTTATTGTGTAATGCGTTAGCCAGTTGTTGAATTTTTTGAGCAGGAATTAATTCTCATGTCAACATCAGTTCGTTGAATGTCTATATGTTTTTTTTTTTTATTAAAGTGGACATTTTGTAATCGAAGAGTCTGAGTTACATGCGGCCTTCTAGGATCATTCTCTTGCCTTTACTAGAGCTCTTGATGTTTTTTTTGGGCAGTTCTTCATACTGGTGTTTTGTGTACTATGTCCATCATTCCAGTATCACATCAATATTTCTCGATCTGTTTTTAAAACTGTTTTGACTGGTATGATTTTTCTTGTTAGTTTTCGTATCAACAGTGAGAGGTGCCGGAGATTTTTTTGGTGGAAATATCTTTTTGCATGAATATATCGACAAAAAATCGTAAACTATGATTACTTCTGCCATGGTTCTAACCGATTATAATAAATCTCCAGTACTGCTGTCAAGGGAAAAACAGTGTACTCCTGTACGTCTTGGTACTCCCTTTGTACACCATCGAACCTTAGAGCTTTCTAACAACAGAACATAAATAAAAGGTACCGAAAAAAAGTAACGAAACCTATACATGACAGAGCTCTCAGGAATGCAAGAAAGAATGAGACAGACAAGAGAAAGAAAGTTGATACATGTGCAGTATTTATTTGATATTACGAGCATTCGAGACATCTATGGGGTAGAAAATTATTTTATCTTTCCGTTGAGCGTCACCTAAGCCAATCATCAGTATTATTTATTACCCATGTCATTAGTAGTTCGACTTCTTCTCAGTATCACTGCTAGAAAAACTATAATCATGCTCTACAAATGATCCATTCATTCATGTCTTCTCCGCGGTTGCTGTGCTTGGAGCGGATATATTTGAATTCAACTATCGTTCCCTAACGGATTTTGACCATACCGGTGTGGTCAGTTGACAACTGCAAAGTGAACTTTTTTTGGTTTCGACCTAGCTCCATAATCCCGAAACACAAAAACTGCGTTTTAAAACGCTACTTATTCTTTTTGATAAATATGTATACGTATTCCAATTTGAGTGGTTAGTAATTCCGCTTGCGCTGCAGCAACTCAAGCTGCAGGTGTAAAAGTTGATTTACTGATTGAGCTTTCGTCTACAGATACAAGTACCAAAATACTAGTATGATAGGTCCAACGAACACAAATGTCTTAGTAAGTAGTTAAATGTCACACACGCCTGATGAATCACTCGTTGTCACCACTTCAACAGTCAGTTGATATAATCTTTAAATTAGTTAAACATATTCTCCTCGTTATAATTAGAAACGATAGGAAAACTAAACGGTCAGCATGTTGACTACTGGCCGATAAAAACGGTCGTTTATCAAATGATCGTCTATCTCGTGTTATGCAAACAAGTAGACAAAACCAAAGAATAATTATTTTTTTTGTTTTCATCTGAAGAAATAAAATGTTTGGAACAAACAGTATTCTTTCGTAGTCCTATGGCCATACTCCTGGGTACTCCTTGTGCTCTTAAAGTTAGGAGTACACTATTCTTCGATTGAAACAACGGCAAATAAATTGATTTTTACAAAATATTTTATTTTTCGTTCTTTTTTAAAAAGAATTCACAGTGAAAAGCCGAATAAATTGTAGCAAATGATGCTCTTCTTATTTTATCTAATATTAAGTTGAACGAAGAAGAATGAAGAATAGAATTTAATAATGAAATAAATAATATTTCGAGGATGATGAAACTCTTTCTTCAAAAAAAATGTGCAATAGTTTACCTTATATTGATGATAGGTATCAATAATCGTATTAAGACTTGTACAAACATTACGAAGTGATAGAAGAATGGTTAATCGATCCAGTTTGTCCAATATATGATATACTAAATCGACGGGCAATGTATGAAGAGATCGAGTAATGTTGTCAGCCATTTTTGCGTTGTATTCGTTCTAATGTCTTTTGATGAAATGTATGCTTGTTGAATGAGTATGTTATTTTTTAAGAGCACTTTTGTCGTAGTGTAAATAACTGTAAAATTGCAACGAACAATCGTATGAGAAGAGAAATAGTTTTACGTTTCTTCATCAATCATTGAAAAAGAAAGAGAAAAATACAAGATAAATCGTTTAGAGAGAACGAAACAAACAGGTAATAATATCCAAATATAGTTATTGAGAAAAATATCGACATCCACATAATCAAGGTGTGACAATATTTCAGACGTATTTTTATTGTATTTATTTTACTGCTATTTTCATCAGAAAAGTATTCTATCTTCTACATTTCATATTGCAATTATGATATGAAATAGATTGTCGAGTTTTTATAGATATTTCTTTAAAACTGAATTTGTTCAATGGAATAATCATAATGATAAAGGGTGTGAAGTGTATGTAACCTGCGTATCTATGATCCACGCTTCCAGCCTCATTTTCTTGTGTTCCATCTATAGCTTTGAAATAGGAAAGAAGATAAAAGTTTCGGTAATGAGGGTGTGGACATGGATTGTAGGTATGCAGGTTTCATGCACTTCATAAAATTGAAACTCTATGCCATCTTCATATGATATCACTACTTTTCCGAAAATCAGTGATCCGTCATTTGATTATTATTTGCGACCATTGAGTATTATTATGAAACTATGCAGTGACATATCCTCTTTCGACCGGTGAAAATCGCAACTCTTCATCTTGTTCCTATCAAAAGTTATTCGCAATCAAAGGCTGACGGGTTACGTTTGGATCACTCTGTAGTGTATTTGTGTAATTAGAATGATTATTAGATGTAGCTGTTTTTATAGCTGAGATGATAAACAGGTAGTTTAACGGTAGAACATCTAACTGGCTATTGAAAGATGTGGGTTCGATTTCCATCCTCCTTGCATGATTCTTTTTGATTATATAAATATAGTTCTATGAACAAGTAAAATTATAACAGATAATTCTTCTCCAACTCGTAAAACGCTTCCTCTTCCGATTAAAAATAACGAACACTCACCCTCAATCCAGCAAAAAATTGAATTATTTTGAAAAAAAAATATCAACATATTCTCAGCTCGGTATTTCTAACTTTCTGAAAATTGAAAGTAAAAAGTTTTACTGATAATAGCAAATTCTAATCAGCATTAGAGAAGATTTGATAACAATCGAATCAAAACGACAGATCCTATCTCCAGGTTTCGTTATAGAATATACCCTGAGAAATCGTTCTAAATATTCGAACAAGCTAGAACGTTAAGTAATTATTAGAAACCTGACAATTTAAAGTTTTTTCAGTAAAAATTTACGCTTTGCTTCTTAGTGCCTAATGTTTATTTTTTAAAAAAAAGCATCAACATTCAACATCATACAAATATAGGTGATACATCAGAAAAAGAAAACGTTTGATCATCGATAGAAACAGCTTGTTTAGTCCGTTGAACAACAGAATCGATTGCATCTGTAAAGCATTGAACATCTTGTGATATCACTATGCCCTCAGTCAAAGTAATGAACAATCTTATAAAATTAGAAAAATATTTAACAGTTTCTTTATGATTGTATTTGTAACATAGATATCGCCATGCTAATTCAATATATCTATCTTGAATATCCAAGATTTGCTTGATATTGGATAAATTAACTGGATGAATATTTGAATAAACAGTATAGTTGACTGTTGAGACAGAAAGAATCGCAAGAAAGAGTTTCATAGCGATTATGTCAACATCAAGTCGAGATGCCAAACGCTGAGCAACAGATATTACACTTGGATGACTTATTATTCCAACAGCATCGTAATAAGCGGGATAATTCATCAATCCAATTTTAAATAAAATGAAATTCGAAGAAAGAGTTACCGTATGTGACAATGTACTATGCAGTAAAATAGAACGATCATCTGCTGATAAACAACGAAAATCGCGATTGTTTTTGTATAATAATTGAGCATCATTAAACATCATTTGATATAACTCGGACACTGATGCACATTTATAACGTAATTTATGAGGTAATTTATTTTGTTCATGCATGTAAGTTTGACCTATTGATAATCCACTATGTTCATCATAACAACGTGATAAATTTGAGATAAGATTCCATTGATCGACATCCAATGTTGATTGATCTGATCGTAACAGATTCAATGTTGGAAACTAAACAACGAAAAAACAATAGATTATTCAAACATATTTACTATAAACATATGTGATCCGATAATATTTCAGTATATTTCTTTCAGAAGCTATGTTCAAAATTGTAGAGTAAATGCATATTTAACTATTATCCATTTAAAAAAAAGAATGATCGTAGCTATTTTTCGAATAACTTTCGAATGGAAGCAGCTAGCGAGCTGCGCTTTTCACCATTGTGTGGGTAAATGAGTATTCTATAAATCCATCGATAAATATTCGAAGTTCTTGCAGTTTCAAGATTTCTCCAGCATGAATCTTTCAAAGAGTTCTTCGAAGTTTCTTTTAAGTTTCATAGACACCTATATATGTAAACTATGCAAAGCCTAGTGGTGATATTTCTTTTTGATTTCAAACCAATCTGAAAGTATTATATCGAAATTTTGGAAACGTCGACTATTTTTGGCAAATACCAAGAAAATTTGAAATTTGAAAAATCTTGATAGTCTTAAAAAAACTCTGAAGAACTCTTTGAAAGATTTTGGCTAGTGGAATCGTGAAACTGTAAGAACTTCGAGTATTTATCGATGGATTTATAGAATACTCATTTTGCTCACACAATGATGAAAACTGCAGCTCGCTAGCTACTTCCGTTTGGAAGTTATTCGAAAAATGATCACGACCATTCTTTTTTTAAACGGATAGTATTAATGATATCTCTTGAAATTTTAAATCAAAAAACTATCATTCGTTAATAATTAATTAGATTTATTTTACTAGAAATAAAGATGAAAATATTTTCTATCTGTAGTTGTCATAGAAAAAAATTTCACTCCTAAAAATATCAAATATAGAATTTTGTGGAAAGGATAACTTCAAGCCATTCTTATTCGCTTTCGTACCCTCAATATCTCTGAGAAGAAAACATCCCAGAATTTTGACTGTATAACAACTTTTCTTCTTTCATCAAGATCTATCTGATTTGAAAGTTTGAGAGGTATTCATCAAGCCGTTCTCGGAAAACTGATACCTTTAAATATTAAATTTGAAAATAACTCTCATTGTTTTGTTTCCTAGATGCTTGAAATGAGTTTAGATAAAAATAATGAATCAATTTTCAACGGTTTCCTCATACTAACAGGGATCATATACTTAACTATGATAATCAAATAGTCTCACTTGTTCAAGTTGATTTAATCTAACTAACGCTGTTGATGTTGTTTCTACTGGATTTGTCATCATTTTTTCTTTTTCACTTTTTTTCTTTCTTTTTGGCAAAGAAGATCGAAGCATTTCAGTTTGCATTCCATTTGTAAAACATTTCATAAGTCGACAATAAGAACAATGATAACGATTATTTGAATTTATTTCACAATGACCATCAGAATTGCATTTTAATACTTTCTGAAAAAATGAATATAATTGAAAGAAAATACATATTTTTGATTCACTTGTCCTCGTTCAGCATTTCGTTTGAAAAATATTTTGCATGGAGAACATGCTATAACACCGTAATACGAATATTGAGCCGGAGCTTCACAAATTTTACATTCACGTAGTACTATTGTTGATTGTCGCTTTCTATTCATAGAATTATTTGAAGATGATTTTTCCACTATGAAGACACGTTTTTTATTTGATTAAATCTAAAAAATAAATAAACAACATTAGAATTATGGTTTTTAACAGAAATTATTTAGAGAAGAACCACGAGAAATCATCAATATATTGTAAACAGCACAACTATTTTTTCTTTATTATATTTTATTAAATATGTATCTGTCTATCCTTGATGAAAATCATGTTTCTAATAGTAGTCTATAGTTACTTTATAACTATGAGAAATAACTATTAGCATGAATAAGACACAAGTTGGACGAGTATAGAAAAGAAAAAGCAAAAACAGCAGACTTTTTCTCTTTCTTTCTTCGAAGAAAAATATAGATGTATCGAGAAATATACACGTTATAATGGTTAGAGTCGACAAAACATTTTCGTTCTGCACAAAAGCAAAAAAAAAAAAATAACAAAACAACGTGCATAACCCTTTATTCCTTTTGATAAAACGTTTTTTTATTCAATATTATTTATTACTTCAAATAAGTTAAGTTCAATTTAACATGAAATTTCTATTACATGTTGATATCTAATAGTGAATAAAAATCATCGATATCGATCAAAAATCAAAAATATTTTGACATGAATATTGAATATGTAGAGCTTTCGCTGAATATTTTTTATTTCAGTGTTATTTAATACTCCTGACGTTAGTCTTATTTGATGATTACTTATTTATTTTTATCGTAAAGAAAAACACTAATACAAAACTATTTAAGATAATAAATAGTTTGTTCGATTTGTTAAAGAATAGAATCGAAATTATCTGTGTATTTTTGAATATCGTGTAGTTTAACTATTCTATCATTTAGAACTAAAAAACATTTTAGAAGATTAGAAAAGTAAATAATAATTTGATCATGATTACATTTGTAGAATAAATCTCGACACATTATTGTAAGTAACTATTTGAAGAAAAGGAGGATGCAATTTTTCGACGTAAAAAGTCATTCTAACAGTTCAGATCCGTTCGCATACCTTAAGACAATGAACGAAGCGTGGTATTCCATAATCTTACAGATAAAATAGAAGAATATGCACATCGAGAAATGAGGTATTTCATTAAAACGCATTTGTTCACCAATCATACAAAGTCTTTTATCAGATAAACAATCATCATCTAGAACAGTTTTCTATGGTGGTCCTTTTGATGGTTCATTGGCTGGACAATGAAGATTCCATGGTTCTGGATGAGACCAATTCCAAGCTTTTTCTTTATTTCTATCAAAATTTGCTGGTTCACTATAGAAAAAAAATCAATTAAAGATTTTAAAAATATGTTTTCTTACTTTATTTGATATCAATCCACAAACCAACAAATTTAAGTTATTTATGATTATTTAATATTTGATTTTTCCAGCAATCTGTAGATGGAAGATAGAAATAATTAGGATATACTCTTTTACCTACAATCAATAAAATAATAATTAGATTTATCCTTTCCTTTAAACATTTTCTAGTCAAATAAATTCTCAACTCCTTATTTCTACAGAGATTCTTATAATAAACTAGCCAATAGGTCAATCATATCCAACCATATTCCTATTTTTAGTTTCATTAAATTGAACATTTTTATTAGCCGATCATTTAACCTAAATATCATCTTTTTGTCTATCTGTAAAAACACTAATTTCGTTCTTCGGAATCAATAGTTGGATAAAGAATTGTTATAAATTTCATTCCTTGTGTATGCAACCAATCAACATATTCTGATAAACGTTTAAAACGAATTGAATTCCAAGTAAAATCCATTTGATTTCGAAAATAATCAATATCATCATACCTTAAATCACATAATTTAAAATAAAATAAAGGACCCCGCGCGTTATGAATTAAGTGTAGCTCCAGCATTTATTGAAAATGCAGAAGTAATGTCCAAAAGGACGAATGCAAATATAAATGGTTTGACTACTCCCGATATCATATGACCAGAGTCCTACGTAGAATGATCAGTTAATAAATAATCAATTTAAATTTGTTACGTTACATATGTGACTGCCATAACAAAGATCATCAGAAAACAGGTACTAACAACCTGATCGATAAATGTATTCCAATAAGGAATATCTTTGTCAGGCATTGTGAAGAATATATCAGCTGTATCATTGGGACCTGCCATTTGTCTTCTACCATCATCAAATACATTGAATTGATTCCAATAGACAAGATGGACTAAAGCAGCTCCTTAGAAAGCTGAGTTTGCCAATAGTCATTAACGATAGAGTGTCATATTTGATCCTTTTTTTACACTACTAATTGGTCCACCAACTACCATTGCTACAAAGAAACGAAACAAATTTAACACTACATTTTAACGTTTTATTATAATAAACTTTTTAAAAAACTCTCAACGTAATAACTTCATAGAATGACTCATCAGTTAGTTAGTTTATCAACTGACTATTAATAAGTTCAGTTATTGAAAGTTGGAACTACTTCTTAAACAGTGTTACATATCTCGAATTTTGGACACGCATCATACGTCTCGCGGGTGACTTGCTCGTTTCTAGCGGTAGATGGTACATCTCTAAAATTCAGGATATGTGACACTACTTGTATGATAAGAAATTACAGATTTTTATCTGGTTTTTTTCTTGTTACTGTAATCCGATCATGATATTTCATCTTTCATTTTTCAGACGAACGAAGCGAAACACCAATTGTGTCAATAGATATTCTCAATAGACAATAGATCATACTGTTTATAGATTTTGAATAAACAAGAAATTTGAAATATTCTCTCACATAATGATCATATTAGATGAGACTTTGATTTGTCTCCTTATTTCTGTAAATCGTTATCTGCATATACACCGACGTCAAATGCAATTGCGATTAGAAGTGTAGAATGAGAAATTTGTCGAGCAAATTGATAATTAGCAAGATCAGCTTCACCAATAAGTATTAAAATACATATGAAATAACGTTCTACTAGTAATTGAATTGAATATTGTTTGGAACTGTTTTATGTTGATCATGTTTCGTTTGTTCTATTAGAAATAATGATAGCAAAGAATAATCAGAATTCAATCACAAAATGATAATAATTACGGAACAAGATGGTCACATCTTATTGTATAAGAATACAATACGTTCGCTTATATTTCATATGACAGATTATCTATAAGAGTAAAAAAAAACAGTTTTACATCCAACCATCGAATATTTTCGAGAATAAGATATTTTTATTTTGCGTCCGCATTGTTCGTTCGTGCTCGATTGTAGAGACATGTTACATGTTTGACTAACGATATTATGTTATCACAACTAAATATCTCGATAAACGATGATAAACAGTATCTTATTTATTTTCCTATTGTTCTTTCAATGTTTTTATCGTATAAACAAAAGAAAAATAATCTATGTGAAATGTTTACAAGTTGACGATCCTTCGAAAAATCTCGTTCACTCCCATTCAGTCTTTCAGAAATAACACTCGATAATTATCTTAATCAGGCATTTCTTTTTCTTTTCTTCTTGTCTTCCTAAACCTTTGTTAAGTCTATAATTATACTTGTTAAAAAGAGATTCTATGAATATTATTTCAACTAATAATCATTTATATATTTCAATCAATCTAAGAAGTTCTATGAAAATAAGTGTTACCTATTTCACAGAATAGAAGAAGTTTTTTCTTCAGAGACATTTTCATCGAACGACATTTCTCAAAGCATTGAGCAGTGTGACGAAGTGAATGAATACTGGGCAAAGCGTGATATACGCAAAAGAGGTTTGCATGATGGATTTTGATCAACGCATAAAAGAAAATAATAATTCAGCCGATTCAATAAACTGATGAGAGAAAAGATGATGTTTTTTTGCGTTATTCTTTATGCAGACATTTCTTCGCTTTTTCTTGTATTTTTTTCTCTCTGTTTACCTTTGTGTCTCTCAATGTAAACAATGAATATGAATTTGACAAAGAAAATTAATCAGATTTTTCAAGTAGATAAATCCATACAATTTTTTCATAAGAAAATAGAGAGAAAAGTAAAGTCAGAAAAGGATATTCATTTTCACTATTCGAACATGTCAGTATGGGTGAGTAGCGAAAACGAACCAAAATAATAATAATCCAATGTTACACTCCATCTAGGACCAATCAACTCTTTCTCAAACAATTTCACATCCATTATCCTATCTCTATCCATCGAAATCAGTATATCTAGCTTCGAGAAACCGAGTTTCACCTCTGAATGATTCTTCGAAAGAGATTTTATTCGATAAAAATAATTTCAATTCGTTCGAGACAATCCCTCAAGTGACACGATCGGATGCCTGGTCCACAACGAATATCACTCAGGCCGCTACTCACAGCACTCCATCCGAATCATGTACAACGAAGTTAAGCACATGTTTGAAGTAAGTCGCATTCGTATTAGAACATTTGTGGAGCAATACAATTTGTACTTTGTATGGAAAGCCAGTTAACACTAATCACCATGAAGCCTTAGTAGTCGATGCATGACAAATGAGATTTCTTCTCATGATTATGGATTAAAATTCATAAATAAACAGAATTCTTTGTTTACTGTAGATCCCGTAATTTTCGCTTCACATTATTGGGGATGTTCTTAGGTGTAGTACTCAGTTTAGGTGCTATTATACCGATTGTTATTGTTTGGCAAATATCTGGTAACATATCATTGTGTTGATCAGTAGTATTCTTTGACGTTTATTTTTCTAGCATCCAAAACGACAACAACCGCTGTTCCTTCGGTAGAAATAAATCAACTTAAACTCTACATATTTTTCTTGCCTATTTCTCTAATGATTTTAGTCAAATACGGTGGAAAGTTCAGTGAGTGGTTCATTAAGATCAACTACTGGTTTGTCAGGATGTAATCTATACTACTGTGAACAATATGTTAACTTCACCACCAATATGACTGTCACAGCCTTCTCTGCAGCGATCACAATTCAACGAGGAATATATAATCTGACCTACCACAATGCTTATACTAATTTCCCT